AGCACTTTGGGAGGCTGAGGCAGGCGTATCACGAGGTCAAGAGATTGAGACCATCCTGGCCAACATGGTGAAACCCAGTCTCTACTAAAAATACAAAAATTAGCTGAGTATGGTGGCGCATACCTGTAGTCCCAGCTACTTGGGAGGCTGAGGCAGGAGAATTTCTTGAACTCAGGAGGTGGAGGTTGCAGTGAGCTGAGACTGCACTCCACTGCACTCCAGACTGGCGACAGAGTGAAACTCCATCTGAAAAAAAAAACAAAAACAACTTACTGAGGTTTAAATTCCAGATGTTTTGCACAGATGCATGTCATGTTTCTTGGAGTGGGCATGTCAATATTGCTATATGAGCTTATTTTAAAATTATAATTGTTTCTTGTATCTTTTTCTGTCTCTTAAAATCTTTATGCCTAACTTTTTAGATTTTTCAGACTTTTTGTGGCAATCTTTATGTTTTAGGTGTGTCTCTTACAAACAGCATACAGTACATTTTTATTATCCAGTCAAACAATCTTTATCTCTTAACCAGAACTTTTAGAGCCTTACAGGTTTGTAAATGGTTTAAATCCACTTGTCACAGATTTGGCAAGTGGTTTGGCCACCTTTAAGCTAGTTCTTGTTCTTTCATGAACCCTGTCACTGTTTGGTACCTCCTTTGTGAAACAACCAGATATTCCAGGCCCATCTTGTACTTTCTCTGACCAGCCATTGTTTCTAAGGATTCCTGGTTCCTTTTAATGGGGAATGGTTTGTAGAAGTGGAAAATCTAATTTCTGCCACTGGAGTGGTATTGTATCTAGGCCTTTTTGGCAAACAGCGTAGGAAATATATGCATATGTCTATCTGTAAAAATCATATGTATATATGTGTTTGTAAAAATCATCAAAGGCGGGCCTTAAGAAAAACTAAACACACACACACATACATACATCCACACAAACATACAGACAAAATCGTAAGTTCATACTGATAACCTTAGTTCCAATTCAACACTCAGTATAAAATACTAAGGTGGCAGGTAGCTTTCAACACTTAGAATATATCACACCCAGTCACCTCTAGCTTCTATCTTTGCTGTTGAGAATTCAGCTTTTTAAAATGTTGCTCCTCTGAAGGTATTCTGTTTTTTTAAGATTTTTTACTTTGTAGTTTTTAGCAGGTATAATGTTACATCTAGGTGTGGAGTTTTCTTTTTAATACTGTGCACAGTTTATTAGGCTTCTTCAGTCTGTGAATTGACCTTATCAGTTGTGAAAAATTCTCAGCTTTGCGGGGGGAGTCCCCTCTTACCAATCGTACATTTAGCCTTAAAATATGTAACAATAGCCATTATTTCTTCACATACTGCCTCATTCTTTTTCTCTGTTTCTTCTGGAAATGCAATCAAATATATTTTAGAACTTCTTATGGTAGCGTTCCTATATCTTAACCACTTCTCTTGCTATCTTTCTCACCATGCTGCACTGTGGATAGTTTCTTCTGACCAATAGTCTTTTATTTGAAAATACTGAGCATATTATTTCTGATAATTCTAACATCTCAAGTCTTTGCGGGTCATTTTCTGCTTTCTCTTGCTTTTCTTGGTTCTTGTTCATGATTCCTTGTTTCTCTGTGCTGTTGACTTTGAGTGGTTTATTGGTGATTGAGAAATCACACTTTGGATTTCTTAAGGCCTGGGTTGAAGTGTTTTTCCCCAGAGGAATTTGCATTTGCTTCTGCCAGGAGATGAGAGCATTGTCAGACCAGAACTGTTTTAAACTAAATTAGAACTTGAGGTTTATTGGACCACCCATGTTATATTAAATTAGGCTATAAATCTACCCTAGGATTAAACCATGATATACAACCACCTTGTCCCTTTAGTAAGCACTAGATCAACTTTCATGCAGTCTCATGGGGTTAAAGGATAGAAGTAAGTTTATTATTTCTTACTCTCACCTTAAAGATAGCCCAATAGGAAAAAAAAAAAAAAAAAAGGGAAAAAAATCAAATGAGGGCACAAGAATTAATAGGGGGAAAAAGATAAAGAGAGCCCCTACTGTTCCTGTCATAATGTCAAGTGATCTTTCAGACTCTCTACCTGGAGCAGGCCCAGGACTTTGTCTTATGTCCCCTTGGTCCAAAGAGTTTATCAAATTGCAGATCAGTTTCTTCTTGGTAGTGATATATTCTCAGGGTAAAAATGGCATCTAGGTGTACCTCTAGGTTCCTGGTAATTTCTTACTAACTTCCCAACCTAACTTAAGTTTTTAAAATAAGTTTAATGCACCAACTTTCATTGTTTGCAATAGGAATGTCGGTCTGAATAACCTAACCTACCTGCCTTTACAGGAAGCAAAAGTTCCTTTATATATTTTTATTTCTTTAACAGTTGTATTAATTCGTTTCCACACTGCTGTAAAGATACTACCCGAGACTGGGTAATTTACAAATAAAAGAGATTTAATTGACTGACAAGTCCATATTGCTGGGGAGGTCTCAGGAAACTTACAATCATGGCAGAAGGGGAAGCAGGCACCTTCTTCACAAGGTGGCAGGGGAGAGAGGGTAAGGGAGGAACTGCCACTTTTAAAGCATCAGATCTTGCGAGAACTCAGTATCATGAGAACAGCTTGGGGGGAACTGCCCCCATGATCCAGTCCCCTCCCACCAAGTCCCTCCTTCCACGTGGGATTACAATTGGAGATGAGATTTGGGTGGAGGCACAAAGCCAAACCATATCAACAGTAAACTATATTTTAAAAAAAATTCTTTAGAGGGGGAAAACAGAGAAAACTACCCAGCAATGAAATAGGCTGTACAACATAAATATGCAAGTTATTTAAAAAAAAACAAAACAAACAAACTGGATGACATAGCTCATGCCTGTAATCCTGACAGCTCCTGAGGTCAAGCCAGGCAGACCGATTGAGGCCAGGATTTCTAGACCAGGCTGGGCAACACAGCAAGACCCCTCATCTCTAAAAAAATGTTTAAAAATTAGCCAGGTGTGTAGTGGCATGTGCCTGTAGTCGCAGCTACTTGGGAGCTGAGGTGGGAGGATCACTTGAGCCCAGAAATTGAAGGCTGTAGTGAACTATGCCTATGCCATTGCACTTCAACCTGGGTGACACAGCAAGACTCCAACACTCAGTAAAAAAAAAATAAAAAGAATAAATGTAAACAGCCTATATACAGAAAAAAATGTTCATTCTCACTGTTAGTCAAATAAATCAATATAAATGTGCTACCATTTTTCACCTATCATATTCACTAAGTTTTAAAATTTGCTCACTTAAAGCTTAGGTAAGTACAGTGAGATGGGATATGCTCTTGTTCTGCTACTGGGGGTGTAAAATGATATGACTTTCTTCTGGAAAAACAGTAACATCTTATAAAATAATGTATGGGGAAACCTTAAATATTCGTACATTTAGTCAGGGGTTGGCAAACTACAGCCCATAGATCAAATGTGGCCTGCAGCCTATTTTTGTATGACCCTACCACCACAAGTATCTCTTACATTCTTAAAGGGTAATGGGGAAGAACACAAATAAGAATATATGCTGGAGACTGTAAGTGGAACACAAAGCCTCCATTATTTGCCATCTGTCCTGTTACATAATTGTTATCTTTTGAAAGTAGCACTAACATATACATTATATTCATGGTCATTTTTTCTAGTCAGTTACGTAGGATAGAGAAAGGAGAGAGAAAGAAAAACTTTTTTATCCTAACTGTGATCCACAGAATGGTAAGCCTCTTGGTAGCAGAAACTTTGTCTTGTTATTAAATACTTTTATCTTCCATGATTAGCACATTGTATGAGGAGTAGGAGTAGAGAGCTGGTTGCAGGATTTTTAATTAACCCAATGAAAAGTAAAGAGAAGATTGTCTAGATTAGCCTGAGGTATACATAACTGTGTGTTACGGTTCCTGGATGAGGCTGATATATTGGGCAAAATGATAGATTGAAAGATTTGAAAATCATGCTTTAAATCATATGTTCGTTTCTTGAATGCATGGAATGGAATGAGCAAATAGTAAAGGGAGGATGTCATAAAAATAGTATAATACCTGTCATTTACTTAGTGCCTTGTTTATGACAGGTGTAATACATATTATCTCACCTTAAAGTCATATTACAGGGCACACACGGTGGCTCACGCCTGTAATTGCAACACTTTGGGAGGCCAAGGCTGGTGGATGACTTGAAGTCAGGAGTTCAAGCAGCCCGGCCAACATGGTGAAACCCTGTCTCTACTAAAAATATAAAAATCAGCCTGGCCTGATGACAGGTCCCTGTAATTCCAGCTATTCAGGAGGCGGAGGCAGGAAAATCGCTTGAACCTGGGAGGTGGAGGTTGCAGTAAGCCCAGATCGTGCCACTGTACCCCACCCAGCCTGGGCAACAGAGTGAGATTCTATCTAAAAATAAATAAATAAATAAAATAAAAATAAAAAGTATATTATAGATGAAGCAGAGTTAGTGAATTGCCCACAGGCACACAATTACTAGATGTTAGAGGTGTGATATGAACAGTGCACTTTAAAAAAAAAAGCCAGCTCTAGTGTTACTTCCTTCTTTGAAGAAACCTTCTCTATAACTTCTGTCCACCTTTTACTACCTGGGTTAACTTGAGGCTCCTTCTTTGTTTTCATATGATACACAGTTGGTAACTGCAGTTTGGCCTTTACTTATGGAATTATAATTGCAGAATCCATTTGGAATTTGAGGACGTAGCATTATCTGATTCATCTACTCCTTCAGTAACTTGAAAGTTAAAGGTGAAGGCCTATGGTGTGAATCACAGTGCAAGGCAGGTAGACCAGAGGGACTCACTCCTCATGAGTGTAGGCCCATCTCTTGAGGGTGTCAGATACTAGGCCAAATTTTCAAATGCCCAGACTTTTTATGTTTATCTTATCCAGTACCTAACTTATTCAACTTGGAATTCAGTGTAACACAGCTATGAGTGTGTGTTTATATTCAAGTAATTCATAGTATCTTTAAACCATAGGTCCTCTGCTGTACCACTTTGAAAATCTGGCAAACGAACTTTCCATAGAATTGAGCTATGAGGATATAAAAAACGTTGTTCTGCAGTATGGATTCAAGGTAGAGGTAAGAATGGAATAAAATATTGCCGAAGTTTAACTCCCAAAGCACCTTGACAGAAGTGTTGATATCATGGCTGTTAGTGACTATTTGAATTCTGTTTTCTTACCTATAAAGGGAAGATAACACAGGTTGAGTACCCCTTACTCAAAATGCTTGGGACCAGAAATGTGTTGGATTTTGGATTTTTTTCCAATTTTGCAATATATGCATATACATAATGACATATCTTGGGAGGGGACTGAAGTCTAAATATGAAATTCATTTATGTTTTATATATGCCTTATAAGCATAGCCCAAAGGTAATTTTATACAATATTTTAAAATTTTGACCACCTGCACATGAAGTCAGATGTGGAATTTGTCACTTGTGGCATTATGTAGGTGCTCAAAACATTTTGGATTTTGGAGCGTTTCAGATTTTCAGATTAGGGATGCTTGACCTGTGTTACTTAGCTTCCAGAATTATAAGGATTTGGGATAACGTGTACATAAAGGGAAAACTATACTTTCTGGTGAAATAGCCTTACAGTAAATGGTAGCTGATCATTATAATACTGTTCTTACAGACTCTCACTTATAGATAGAAAGTAGAGTAGGCTCTGGGGAAAACAAAAAGGGGCGGGAGGGCAAGTATAAGAGGGATATTCACAATATGTCCTTGTCCTTGTGTACTGCTTCATCTTTTTTAAATTATGTGCATTACTATAAAGTTTTGTGATATTTTGGCTATTGTGTTTCAGTTCATTTATTTAGAAGCCTTCCATTTTAGAAACAATAGATTTGTTTTTAAGAATGACGAGAAGCAATATATTATAGTAGTTCAAAGTTCGAGACTGCCAGAGTTTGAATCTTAGTTCCGTCACTTATTAGTGTGACTGTTCTTTGTAAAGTGAGACTACTAATATTAATAGTACCTCTCTTATGGGGGTAGTTGTATGTAATAAATGAATATGTTAAAATAGTGCCTGCCACTGATACATATGTGCTCAGAATTTGTTAGTGGTGTGGTCATCATGACTGTCATAGTCAGTATTATGATTATTGTTTGCATTGCAGGTGGAAAAAGAATCTGTATTGTCAACATATACTGTGAATGATCTCTCTATGATGAAATACTACTATGAATGTGTCTTGTTTGTGGTCCGTAAGCCACAATAATGGTCTCAAGTGATACCACCTGGAAAAAAGTTTAGTAAGAACAAATGCTGAAATAAACGACTCAAAATCAACTATCAGTGATGACAGGACACAACCTCAAATCAGTGGTGCCTTCTTATTCCTAACAAAATTTAGAAATAGTGTCTATTTTCTTAATATGTCTATTGCTTTTTCAGAAATATACTATGCCATGCAGATTTGTACTACACAAGTAAAAATGGAGGAAATGTCTTGAAGTATACTTTTTCCTTGAAGCCCAGATTGTGTTTCAGTAGGAAAAAAACCTAATCTCCAGTGTCTTCATGATGCTATCCATTGCAAGTCTGCCGTATTAATGACTAATAATAGTATTGAAGTCCATAATAATCTTCCTTTTTTTGTTGTTTTGTATGCATTGCACATGTAACTTTTAGAAGAGTCTAAGGATCCTCAGTCATATTCAACATCTGGAGTTGGGACTTTGTTCACTTTCAATCTAAGAAAACTACGCGTAAAATGTGTCTTTTTTTTTTTTCTTCAGAGACAGGATCCTGCTCTGTCTCCCAGGCTGGAGTGCAGTGGCACGATCATAGCTCACTGTAACCTCAAACTCCTGGACTCAAGCGATCTTCCTGCCTTAGCCTCCCGAGTAGCTAGGACTATAGGCATGTACCACCGCGCCTGGCCTGTGTCTATTCTTCTATCATTCAGATTAATTTAATTTTGTATTTTCTAGCTCAGATGAACTTAAAGAAGCATCAAACATTTCTTTTTTATGAAATGTTAAATTTAATAGCATCACAGGCCGGTAAAATATATTCAAGTAACTGATAAATTATCAAAGTCTTTTGGCCACAATAAACTGAACACTTCATGAAAGCATACTCATCATGGATCTCAACATTCAAAGTGAGAAATAAAAAGCCTTTATTAAAAGTAGTGCTAGGAAACAGAGAAAATAAGAATAAAATTTACCCATTTGAAATATATGATTTTCAGACTCTAAATGAATACAGAGTTTGACAGTGTGATGTTTACAATAATGTCTTTTCTTTAGATTATCTGGATTATGAAAGCAAGCACTTTTTTCATTAAAACAATTATATACTAGGAAAAACTGTCATAATAGTATTAATGTGGGGAATTTTGATTATGAAATTCAGGGATAAATTACTGCCCATTGTCTGTGTCTTCAATATTGTAAGCAGCAGCCATCATGTAATTTCAGATTAATGCCAATTTTGTTCCCTGATAGATGGAGCTTAAACAGTATATGCTGCTTTAAATTTCTACCTCTAGCAGATCTTTATTGGAGGGAGTTTTCCTTTGTATTTTTTAATGTATGTTATTCTGTTTCCAGTAGCTTGGAAAGTAGAGATGACTAATGTTTTAGCCTTTTCTTGGAGAAAAGGAAGAACTCTTCTTGAATATTTTCACAGATGATTGTGATTGCTTTAAATGACCTCTGTGGCAATTTAAATTAGATGGATTTAATCTCAGTAATGTGCTGGTCGCATAAAAGTCATGTTTTAATAGGAAAACTTACTTGTAAATGTTTAGACCTTTGTTGTCACTTAGGCTAGGGAGTCACTACCCTATTTGGCATCTTACTAGTTGGGGGGACCTTTTCCGTGTACAGTGATGGGACTTTCGTGACCTTTACTCTCACTATGCAATAGAGGGTTTCATGCAGTTGATTTGACATGTCAAAATTGGGAAAACTGTTACTTTTTTTTTTTTTAAAGATATCTCTTTTTTGTGTCCCTCAGTACTTAGCAGATGTTCATTTGGTGGAAATTCTTATTACTTACATGAATGAGTTTGAATTTAGTGGCAAGGAAGAAAAAAACTCAAACTATTGTTTTTAAAGAAGAAAACTTGCAAAGTACATAAGTATTTTTTAAAAATCAATTGAACAGAAAGGAATGCATGCTGTTTTTGAATGACTTAGACATGCTTTTTATTCACTGACTAGTATACACTTTTTTACAACTTGTATCAAAACAAATGATCTTTGTTTTTGTCACAGGCAAAAACAGGTTGACACTGGTGGGTTGGCTTTATTAATTTTTTTTCTATTAGGTTTTCTTTAATAATGTTACATTTCTAAATTATAGCATATGTTTTAGTTAATTCTGAAATCAGTTACTTCATTTGTTAATTTATCCCTTGTATCATGAATATTGTTTTTTAAATGTTCTATACAAATTTGCATCACTTTTTTTCTTACAGCTTTTGCAGTTAATATATTCTAAACTTGAAAATGTGGTATCAATCAGTAATAGAAGTATCACTGGAGGATTTATTTAACTTTGTATTTCTTAATTTTAGTCCTAGCTACTAAAGTATGTAAGCCTTAAAGTTTAAAATGTTTTTCTTAAATTAGCTGTATACACATACATTTTCATTTACTTTGTGAAATGCGAGGAGATAGTCCATTGTGCTTGTGTTTTTTTCTTTAATTTCCATATTCTGAAGCAGTGCAGATATAGGGTATGCTAATCAAGTGAGCAAGGTGGAATATGTACAATATAAGGAGAAGCTGTATAAATCACAGTATAAAATTATGAAGTTTGGTAACTGTAAAATGTACTGTATTTATATGTAACTCTCATTCTAAAAGTTGCCACAAAAGCTGAATTGGAAGCTTCATGTCTGCATGAAATTTCCTATATTTTTAATGTGTATGATGAAATTAATTTTTCTTGAATATTAAAGTCTGCCAATTGCTACGAAACGATAGTTGCTTGGTTGTTTTCATCTAAGTTAGTGTAACCATAGATGTGGGGATTTTAATGAGTTGAGCATGTATACTTTTGAACTCTTGGATTAGCCTGTTTTTATATGCTTCTAGGAAGTCAGTCATATGAATACTTGGTCTTATAATATACCAGGCCTTATACTAATTATTTTCACTTAGTTTCATTCAGGTTCACCGTAGTAAAGTTAGAATCCACTGAGGAAAAGGAATAATCTTGATTTTCAGTTTTGTTAAATAACAGAAAAAGAATTCTATAAAAGGAACTAGTAGAAGAAAGTTACAGGACCAGCCATTAGTGGGATGAGCACTTAGATCTTCTGGGTTCATTTTCCTGAATGATTGTGATCTCAGGCAAGCCACTCTTGGCTTGTTTCCTCATCTGTAAGAAAGGATTGATACCATCTATTTCAGATAGTTTATTAGGTCATATGAGCTTTTATATATATTTTTGTGTGTATGAAAGCACATGATAGACAGTTACCATAAATGTAATTTCAGTCTGTGTTGACTGCTATCTAGTGATGGAAAAAATGAGGATTGTTAACAGGACATTTTAATTATCTTATGGTGACCCTTTGAAAAAGGTTTCCGTGGAATCCTGGGGAAAACAGTAAAAAATGGTAGGTACAGATACAGATTCCAAAAGTTTGTTGGGAATTATAATGAAACATATAGTAGGTAATGGGAGAGGGTATAATTAAAATTTAATGGCATGTTACTCCCACTTTTATTAACCTGCTAGCACATCCCTCTTATATATGTTTGATTCTTTCTCTTTGATACCTATTTAGATGTGGGATCTTTCAGTCAGTGTATATGTGCATTTTCAGTTAAAAGTTGCCTTTCAGAAGGGACTGCACCAATTTACATGCCAGGAACAGTGTTTAAAAGTAACTTACATCCATTCCCTGGCCAGTACTGGGTATTGCTGAGCTTTTCATTTTTGTCAGTACAGACATACCTCATTTTATTCTACTTTGCTTTATTGCACCTTGCAGATACTTTTTTTTTTTTTTACAAATTGAAAGTTGGTGGCAACCCTGCATCAAACAAGTCTATATTGGTGTCATTTTCCAACAGCATGTGTTCATGTCATGTCTCTGTGTCAGCATTTTTTAGCAATCAAGTATTTTAAAATTAAGTATGTACATTGTTCTTTTAGACAAAATGCTATTGCACATTTAATATGCTACAGTATATTGTAAACATACTTTTATATGCACTGGGAAACCCCAAAATTTGTGTGACTGTCTTTATCATGATGGTCTGGAACTGAGTCTGTAGTATCTCCAAGGTATGTCTGTATAAGAAGTGTTATCTAATTTGAATATTCATTTACTTAATTGTTGGGAAAGTTAAGCAATTTCTCTGAGTTTGATGGCCAAAGAAAAGTGTTTTTAATCTGCCAGTCTATGTGATTTAATGTGGCAGACCTGACAGGTCATTGGCAACAGCTCCAAACCTAATTAAAACATAGTGAGGTTCATCAGGGAGAGTACTGGCCACAGCCATCAGGATTGTCTTGAGTTCTAGTAATTGAGAGGAGCAGCCACATCTGCTTTTGGTTTTACATAGCTGGCACTGAAGCTGAACAGCAGGAGCAGCTCATTGGACTCCATTATGTTTCATTGTAGCCAAACAATTCGTGAAGTAGGCCCAGAAATTTAGGGGAAACTAAGTCAAGGGCCCCACTGAACCAATGGGATTGCTTTGTGCAGTGGAGTTGGCCGTACAGTTTACCTCCAAAAGGATAGCTGCCGTTTTTTCATGTAGGAACAAAAAGCTGCCACGGTCAGGCCAGCTATGCTATTTCTCTTTGACTAGCGAGGCTTGTTAGATTCTTTTCACCTTGTTAGTTATTAAGTCCAACCACCACGAAATGGGGATGTCAAGCCAAAGAGTCACAAGAGCTACGTTAAATCACATTAAGTTTCAACAAAAGCTTAGCAGGTTAATAGCTGCCTTCTATTGTTAACATATAAAGATGTATGTGGTGGCTGGGTCAGGCAGCTGTTGCGATTGTTGGTATTGAGCTGTTGCCTCTCTGAGTACTCAGGCAGCCATTAAGTCTTTGAAACTTCTCCTGGAGGCCTATATTACTTATACTGGACCATCCGGGGAGGGGGGTCAGTCTGTGTAGTATTCCTTGAGAGTGAGATGGAATAAGATATAGACCAAGAAGTGCAGGCATAAAATCCATGAATTCTATTATACATATATTGAATCTGTCCAAAGAGCCCTGGTGACATTATTTTTGAGGGGTCCAGCTCCTCGTCAAAAACTTGGGGGCTGGGATAGGACAGAAGGGAGTTGGCGCTTCCTCTAGTTTAACCTCTTGCTATTTCAGTAAGTGATTAAAGCTTTGACTGTTCAAACTGCCAGCTCAACTCTCCCTGGCCCCTAACAATTTCAGGTTTCCTTCCCCACTCCAAGCCTTGTCCAAACCCTATCAGTTGAATTAAGGTGACTTTTTTCCTGTAGGAACACAGACCAAGAAGTTTAACATGCATCAGGTGCTACAGCACAGATGCCAAAAGATCAGGTTATCCCCCAGCTGGGAGTTCCAGGTGGCAGAGGAAGCTAGTCTACAATGACAGAAGGAGCCATGGTGGTGGGGAATAGAGTTCATCTGCTCATAATTGTTATATCCACGCAATTGTCGTTAGTATACCTGAGTGTTTATGCTTACAAAAAAATAGTGTTGCCTATTTCATTGTGTGAAGTGGCCTACAAAGTGTTCTCTTGTGTTTTTATGTTTCCCAGTGGTGGTGGGGAAGAAATTTGATTGTCAGCGTTTTTTTCCATTGACCACTGTCTCCAGGTTCAGTGCCTGAGCACTGCTGCTACTTCTTCCCCCATCTATCTCCAGCATCCAATGAGTGTCCAGCTTCTAAGACCCCTTACTTTGGTGCTGATCATAATCTCAAAATACATAATCCTGAATGTCAAAATCCTGAAATAACAAAATCTTTAAGGTCTAAAGTCCCTAACATCTAAAATTTCAATAGATTAAAATCTTTGAAATTCTGTGAGACAAATTCTGGGGAAGGGATTAATGTGTTTTCAGTTGTATGCAGTGTACTTGCATCATGACAGGCAGAACTATTACCTTGTTACTGTCTTTACTAGGAAATTACGGTTTAAGGAGATTCGTATGGGTGCCAAGTTGACAAGAAGTAGACTTGGGGACATAATTTTAGGTGGCAACTTGCCTGGATTAAGGAATACTAGAAACCTAGTAAGACATTATTTTCAGTGTATCTGTGAGAGTCTTTCTAGGGGAGACGTGTATGTGAGTCTCAGTGGACTAAGTGGGAAAGATCTGTCCTCATGTTGGCAGGGGCCATTCACTCAGCCAGGGGCCTATAGAGAACCGAGAAGGCAAATTAGTCCCTCTCAGAGCTGGGACAAATGTTCTGTTGCTGCCTTGGACATCAGAAATTTGACACCACAAAGTACATTATCACAGCATTAACTGTGTGTAAGCATTGTGCATGTATGTAAAAATGTAGAAACTTCCTCAATAAAGGAAGCGATGTACTCTTTATATGTCTGCATTTGTCAAAGATAAAATTTCTGAGAATCTTGGCTCTTTGGGCTACTGTGTATGTGGTGGTGACCCATTGAAGGGTTTTTTTGGGGGGGGGTGTGTGTGTGTGTGTGTTTTGTTTTGTTTTTAAGACAGAGTCTTGCTCTGTCGCTCAGGCTGGAGTGCAGTGGCACCATCTCAGCTCACTGCAACTTCTGCCTCCTGGGTTCAAGCGATTCTCTTGCCTCAGCCTCTCAAGTAGCTGGGACTACAGGCACCCACCACCACACCTGGCTAATTTTGTATTTTTGTAGAGACAGGGTTTCACCATGTTGGCCAGGCTGGTCTTGAACTCCTGACTTCAGGTGATCCGCCCATGTTGGCCTCCCAAAGTGCTGGTATTGCAGACGTGAGCCACCATGCCCAGCCAAGTTTTGTTTTTTGTTGTTGTTTTCTTTTGAGATGGAGTCTTGCTCTGTTGCCCCAGCTGGAGTGCAGTTTTCATGATCTCGGCTCACTGTAATCTCCACCTACTGGATTCAAGCAATTCTCCTGCCTCAGTCTCCTGAGTAGCTGGGATCATAGGTGCCTACCACCATGCCCGGCTAATTTTTGTATTTTTGGTAGAGATGGGGTTTCACCATGTTGGTCAGGCTGGTCTCAAACTCCTGACCTGAAGTGATCTGCCCGCCTCGGCCTCCCAAAGTGCTGGGATTATAGGGTAAGCCACTGTGCCCGGCCCCCCATTGAAGTTTTTGATTGATCTCATCAGAAGACTTATGTTGTCTATCACAGTATTTCAGATGACTGCAGTTATAAAGCTGGGTGTATGCTTTTATATATTTAGCTTTTTCACCCATTTCTTTGTGAATACAGTTCATCTGCTCATAATTGTTATATCCACGCAGTTGTCATTAGTATGCCTGAGTGTTTATGCTTGCAAAAAATGTTATTTCCTATTTCATTGTGTGAAGTGGCCTACAAAGTGTTCTCTTGTGTTACGTTTCTCAAATCCCCTTTTAAAAATGTATATAAATGTTCTTGAGATAATTTTTAAGATTTTTTTCCCTACATTATATTTCCAAGATTTTGAGATTTTGGGATTGCAATTTTCTGGATTTTTAGACTTCAGGGATTTTGATCTTTCAGTATTTCAATATTTGAGATTATGGCATTCAGAATTGTTTTTCAGGATTATGGTCCAAACTTCTTTTCTGTCCATGCTCACGCCACTGTGTTCTGCCCTGCAGTCTTCCAGCTTTGACCGCTCCAGCACCCAGAGCCCTGTCCTCATTATAAGCCAGGTTGGACTGTTGACAGGAACCAGGTGTTTGGCTTTATACTATTAGGCAAGGCATTTCCTTCACTCACTTTTAAGTGGCCACCCATGCTCAATTCAAACAAATTAACTTCTGTTTTCAGGTCACTCAAAGCTCTATATTAAATACTGAAGCCTTCATTCCTGACAACGTTAATTTACCTTTGAGGACTCTCCACCTCAGCAGTCACAGCCATACCGCCTTTTAGCTGGTACCATGGGACTTGCTGCTCTGTTGTCATAACATTTCTTCTTTCTGCCTCGAAGAGAGTGAGCAACAATGAAGTTATTATTTGGGTAACTTATTTCAGTCCTGCTTCTAGCAGCTCAACATATAAACAGGAAGAAGTAGGGTCTC